CACGAACACTCACTTAGCGGGAAATACCGAAGAATTGTAGCGCAGGTGTTCGCTGAGGTACAAAGTGGGGAGACACCGATAGATCCGCCTCTTCCCCGATCTCTTCCTCACATCTCTCTCACAACTTGCTCTATAGCTAATTAGAGACTAGGCTCTATTGGAATGTAGCATCTTATTCTAAAGTGGAGCTCTTGATCCTTGTTCGTTGATTTTAAACAATGAAGAGAAGGCCTCTATTTATAGGTGGGAGGTGCCTTGGGCATGTGGAGAAAGTCTCCCTTCTCATGGAAAGTGGAGATTGACGCCAAAACCGCCTCTTCGGAGTGCCCCGCACGGAACCCAAGCACCGCCTCGTTACAACCGACCTAAGGAATCGTGTGGCCAAAGTTGGCCCGAGCCGCGCTGAAAAGGGAGCGGGCGCTCCTGTGGAGCGGCCGCTCCACGGCTGAGCCCAGTTCGGCCCATCTTCGCCCGGTGGTCTTCATTTGGCCCATGGATATTGTACACTTATGGGATTGCGTTCTGGAGGTGTTGTTCTTCCGTTTGGGCTCATTTAGTCACTTTTCTGGGCCCTGTTTTGTCTGGATGATGGGCCTCTTGCTTTTGGCTCATGTCGGGTACGTTCTTTGTACATGTCAAGTGTATTTTCCATGATATTACGACATGTCCTCCTGTAAATGATAAATCACCAAAACTAGTGGAATAGTGTTAGTGGTAAGCCCTATTACTAAGTTTTGTGTTTGTTTTAATTCTATTAATTGATATATTGGCGGTATAAAATATGAGTTAATGACCGCCAACAATACTGTACTGTGCATTTGTGATTCATCTAAGTGGCACTAGGTGATTATTGTGGCTGTGAATTTCTTATTACTCTTGGTGATTGCCGTCATCTAGACGGTTGGAGTTGGATTAATTGGTGAGGGGACTTGGTGATTGTGTTCGCCCCCAATTACAGTGAGCTGTGTGAGGGGTTCCTGTGCTTTCCCCATGGAGATTACAAAAAGCAACTGTAGTGGAATGCACGTGTCATTGAGTTACCATTCTCGGCAGTAGGTTCTTGTGGCGCCTTTGAGAGGCTCGGTGTGTGATACCGATTAGCCACCGAACCACGGAGTTTGGTCGACACAACGAGGACTAGCTTGCCGGCAAGCAAGTGAACCTCGGGGATAAATCTTTGTGCACATCATTTGTCTCCCTTGTGATAGTGTTGATCTATTGGTGGCTATACTTAGTATTCTTGGTATATCATATTGTGATTGAGTGGATATCGTATTGGTGATTGGATACTACTCTACAACGTCAGTATAAATATCACCACCTCTCTTGCACAACTTTATTTACTTTCTTGCAAAATAGAGTAACTTGCTCTCTAGTGTAGTTAGTCTTTTTAGTTTTCACTAGTTAGAGAGTAGTGACTTAGCAATTGTGTGATATAGAGATATTAATCACTAGAATTACAAATAGGTGGCTTGCCGACAAACATAGAGCTAGCAAAACTTGCTTATAGCCTTTTGTCATACTAACAAGTTTTGTTTAGTGGTTTGTAGATTTTTAAATTAGGCTATTCGCCCCCCTCTAGCCAATTAGGACCTTTCAAGTGGTATCAGAGCCGTGGTCACAATTTAGAAGGATTAACAACCTTGTGCAATGGCTCAAAATATTGTGTTCAACCATGTGGGGGGCAAACCACCATTCTTTGATGGAATATCATCTTTTGATCATTGGAAAAGAAAGATGAAGACACATTTGGGGTCTATTCATGCGAAGGTTTGGGATGTCACCGAAAGGGAATACATTATTCTTGATGAGAAGAATATGACACCAAATGAGCAAGCCAACAAGCAATGCAATACAATGGCACTCAACACCATCTACAAAGGTATAGATGCAAAGGTGTTTGAGCAAATCAAAGATCTAGAGAAGGCTAGTGATTTGTGGACAAGATTGGAAGAAACATATGAGGGCACTACAACGGTAAAAAGTGCCAAGCTATACATGTTGAAGAAACAACTCACTAACTTCAAGATGAAGGATGATGAGAACATACCGGAGATGTTCCATAGGCTCCAAGTAATTATCAATGATTTGAAGAGCCTCGGTGAGAAAGTTAGTGATGAAGATTTCTCCCAAAAGTTCCTATGGTGCTTGCCTAAGAGATTCAAGACCTTGATAACAATCATCTTTAGAGGAGGATTGAAGAATGTCACACCCAATGAGGTCCTTGGTGATGTAATGACTGAGGATAGATATGAAGAGGATAGTGACAATGAGGACAAGAAAGACAATGAAAAGAAGAAGGAGAAGAAGGATAAGGACAAGGTCGTGGCATTTAAAGCCACATCTAGCAAGAGCAAAGGGAAAGCAAAGAAGAAGCTATCTAGTGATGAGAGCACTAGTGATAGTGATGATGATGATGATGAGGCTATGGCTCTTCTAGTGAGAAAGTTTGGCAAATTCATGAAGAAGAAGGGCTATAGTACAAGAAAGAGAAGAGACAAATTCAAGAGCAAGGGCCATGTTAGATTGTGCTACAAATGCAAGAGCCCGGATCATCTTATTGAGCATTGTCCATATAACAATGATGATGATAGTGATGATGACAAGAAAGTCCAAGAAGAAGGACAAGAAAGAAAAGAAGAGGGGCACCAAAGTTTACATGAAGAAGAAGGGTAGCTCTCATGTTGCAACATGGGAAAGTGAAGCTTCTACCTCTTCCTCAAGTGATGATGAAGATGACCGAAGAAGCAAGAAGAAGGGTCATGCTAGCATTGCAAGAGGCAACACTACATCTCTATTTGCTTCATCCTCACCGGCATGCTTCATGGCCAAGGGCCCTAAGGTACAATCTCATGATAGTGATAGTGAATCTAGTTCTAGTGATAGTGATAGTGAAGAACCTAGCAAACTAGAACTCTTGGATGCACTAGATCAAGCCCAAACAATAATAAAACATAAGGGCAAGAAGTGCAAGGAATTGTCTAAGGAAGTAAAATCCCTTAGGCAATCCCATAGTGAGCTAGAGGCCTCTCATGAGTGTCTAAAGGAAGACCATGAGGACCTCACACTAGCTCATACAAAGCTTGAGAAAGCTCACTCCTTGGTCTTGGAAGAACTTGAGAGGCCAAAAGATGCTCATGCTAAACTTGTTAAATCACATGCATCTTTGGAAGCAATTAGTGAACAAGTTATTGTATCTTGTGATGTTGGTGTGACATGTGATATACTAGATGAGAAATTCTTTGAACCTATCATTGTCACACCCACTAATGCTTCCTCTAGCTCCACCACTTCCACCTCAACCAACTCGGCTACAACTAGTAGTGATGGTTTCAGTTGTGATGCATCACTAATGGTTGAAAATGAGGCTCTTAAGAGCAAGGTGGAAGAGCTCACTCTAGCATTAAGCAAAGCTTATGTTGGAGATGCCCGCTTGCTAAAGTGCTTGGGTGACCAAAGATCTCCAATCAACAAGGAGGGTCTAGGTTATATCCCCAAGAAAGGCAAAGCGGCCTTTGTTCAAGCAAAGCCTAGCTTTGTGAAGAGCAATGGTCATTATTGCCATAGATGCAAGCAAGTTAGGCACATAGAGCAAGATTGTCAAACTAAATTAATATTGCAAAGAAACAAGCATGTTGCATATGCATCACAACCGAAGATGAATGCTAAAAGAAACTATGCATACATGTATCATGCTAGACCGACACATGCAAATAGGAATGTTGCTCACATGCCACCTAAGCAAAATAAGAATAAAAATGTGGCATACAACTCTCATCAATTGAATGTGAGCAATGCACCTAAAAAGAACAATGCATACATCCCTCCTCATAAGAGGAACATCAAGTTGGTTGCATGTGTTCCACCACCTTTCTTTGATGCAAGCTATAAGCTATTTAAGGGAGAGAAAGGTGTGACGGCTAAGTTCCTTGGTATTCCATTGAAGGGCACAAAGAAGAATGCTATTTGGGTGCCAAAGGACTTAGTCACTAACCTCCAAGGACCCAAACTTGCATGGGTACATAAAAAACATTAATTTGTTTTGTAGATAAATTATAAATCCGGAGGAAGGCATTGGGTTCTTGATAGTGGGTGTTCTCAACACATGACCGATGATGCAAGGATGTTCATTTCAATCAAAGAAGATAGCAGAGGCCAATATGATAGCATCACATTTGATGACAATAGCAAAGGCAAGGTGTTGGGACTTGGCAAGACTGCAATAACCAATGATATGAGCATATCCAATGTGCTACTAGTTGAAAGAGTGAACTTCAACTTGCTATCCGTAGCTCAATTGTGTGATCTTGGCTTTGAGTGCACATTTGGAGTTGATGATGTGAAGGTTGTGAGTGTGGATGGTTCTAATTTGATCTTCAAAGGCTTTAGATATGAGAACCTATATCTAGTGGATTTCAATGAGAAAGAGTCAACACCATCAACATGTTTGCTCACCAAATCAAGTATGAGTTGGCTATGGCATAGAAGACTAGGACATGTTGGAATAAAACAACTCAACAAGCTAGTGAAGCATGACCTAGTTAGAGGCTTGAAAGATGTCAAGTTTGAGAAGGACAAGCTATGCAGCTCATGTATGGCCGGCAAACAAGTTGGGAATACACATCCTAAGAAGAGCATGATGAGTACATTCAAAGCATTTGAGCTCTTACACATGGACTTGTTTGGACCCACAACATATACAAGTATTGGTGGCAACAAGTATGGATTGGTGATAGTTGATGACTTCACTAGATACACTTGGGTATTCTTTCTCCATGACAAGAGTGATGTATTTGATATATTCAATAGCTTTTTCAAGAGGGTTCACAATGAGTTTGAAGTCACCATCAAGAGAATTAGAAGTGACAATGGAAGTGAATTCAAGAATACAAGAATTGATGAGTTATGTGATGAGTTTAGAATCAAGCATCAATTCTCAGCCAAGTACACTCCACAATCAAATGGCCTAGTTGAGAGAAAGAATAGGGCTCTCATTGATATGTCAAGATCAATGCTTAGTGAATACAATGTGAGTCAATCATTTTGGGCCGAAGCAATTAACACGGCTTGCTACTATAGCAACCGGCTCTATTGTCATCCCATGATGGAGAAGACACCCTATGAGCTATTGAATGGAAGAAAGCCAAATATTGCATACTTTCGGGTCTTTGGTTGCAAATGCTATATCTTGAAGAAAGGCACAAGACTTGGAAGGTTTGACAAGAAGTGTGATGAAGGTTTCCTATTGGGGTACTCCACCACAAGTAAGGCATATAGAGTTTGGAATTTATCAAGTGGTACACTAGAAGAGGTGCATGATGTTGAATTTGATGAAACCAAGGGATCACAAGATGAAGACGAAAATCTAGATGATGTGAGAGGCTCTCAATTGGTGGATGCAATGAAGAATATGGATATTGGTGATATAAGGCCTAGAGAAGTGGTTGATGTTGAAGATGACAAAGATCAAGTAATTACTTCTCCTACGGTACAAGCTAGTGGCTCTAATGTGAAAAATCAACAAGAGGCTAGTTCATCTCATGAGAACAAATCAAGTGATCAACCGAGCACAAGGAACAATGACCAAGTTCTCCAACCAACTCATATTGCAAGAGATCATCCATTGGATCTAGTTGTTGGTGACATAAGAAGTGGTGTGCAAACAAGATCAAGACTAGCATCCTTTTGTGAGCACTATTCATTTATCTCATCCATTGAACCAACCAAGATAGATGATGCCTTGATGGATGTGGATTGGATCAATGCCATGCATGAAGTGTTAAATAACTTTGAGAGGAATCAAGTTTGGGAACTAGTTGAAAGACCAAAGAATTACAATGTGATTGGTACTAAATAGGTCTTCAAGAACAAGCAAAATGAAGATGGCATTGCAGTGAGGAACAAAGCAAGACTTGTGGCACAAGGGTACACTCAAGTAGAAGGTCTTGACTATGGAGAAACTTATGCACCGGTTGCAAGGCTTGAAGCAATTAGAATTTTATTAGCTATGCATGTGCACACAACATCAAGCTCTATCAAATGGATGTGAAAAGTGCTTTCTTGAATGGATATATCAATGAGCTAGTGTATGTTGAGCAACCGCCCGGTTTTGAAGATGAGAAGAAGCCCAACCATGTGTACAAGCTAAGGAAGGCATTGTATGGATTGAAACAAGCACCTAGAGCATGGTATGAGAGGTTGAGGGACTTCCTACTCTCTAAAGGGTTCAAGATGGGCAAGGTTGACACTACTCTCTTCACCAAAAAGATTGGCAAAGACTTGTTTGTGTTGCAAATATATGTCGATGACATTATTTTTGGGTCAACCAACCAAGTGCATTGTGAAGAGTTTGGAAAAATGATGGCAAAAGAGTTTGAGATGTCCATGCTCGGAGAGCTTAGTTACTTTCTTGGTCTTCAAATCAAGCAAATGAAGAATGGTACATTTGTGAGCCAAGACAAGTACATAAGGGACATAATGAAGAAGTTTGGACTACAAGATGCAAAGACCATAAGTACACCAATGGGAACAAATGGGCATCTTGATAGTGATACAAGTGGCAACATGGTGGATCAAAAGTTATATCAGTCAATGATTGGAAGTCTACTCTATGTGACTGCATCAAGGCCGGATGTCATGTTTAGTGTATGCATGTGTGCAAGATTTCAAGCATCTCCTAGAGAGAGTCATCTTAAGGCAACAAAGAGAATATTGAGATATCTTAAGCATACACAAGATGTTGGTCTTTGGTATCCCAAGGGGTCAAACTTTGAGCTAGTTGGATATTCGGACTCCGACTATGCGGGATGCAAGGTTGATAGGAAGAGCACAAGTGGCACATGTCAATTATTGAGAAGATCTTTAGTGTCATGGTCATCAAAGAAGCAAAATAGTATGGCTCTTTCAACCTCCGAAGCCGAATACATAAGTGCGGGGAGTTGTTGTGCAAAATTGCTATGGATGAGATCAACATTGAGTGACTTTGGAATCCATCTTAACAAAGTTCCATTGCTATGTGACAATGAGAGTGCAATCAAGATGACAAACAACCCGGTCCAATACTCAAGAACCAAGCATATTGACATAAAGCATCATTTCATAAGAGATCATCAACAAAAGGGTGATATATGCATTGAAAGTGTGGGCACCGATGATCAACTTGCCGATATCTTCACCAAGCCACTTGATGAGAAAAGGTTTTGCAAGCTAAGGAATGAGTTGAACATCCTAGACTACTCCAACATGTGTTGATGCACCAAACTCACTATATGACATGCCTCTACTCCAACAATGCAATGTACAATTGGTTGGCATGGCATACATACTTGCTAAGGACATGCTAGTGCATATAGAATCATTTCAAGTGATGTCTAGGAGCATTCATGGAAAATAAATTTTTTTTAATGCTTGTATGGTACCACTATTGCTTCTATGTTTATATGATCTAGTGGTAGCATATGACTTGTTTGTGAGCTTGCAATCCTAGTGTTTGATCTAGCATATGACCATAGCATGATTGACCAACATAGTGCAAGATAACCATTGTAAAATGTGTGAAGAAGCTTGCCTTTGGATCAAACCGTGTAATTCATGCTATGCAAATGAGCTAGATTGAACCAAATATGTAATTGATCCTACATATAAACACCGTTGAACAAAATTTTGACTATCTCTACACATTGCACCCTTGTTGGAAATTGTTGACAAAGGGGGAGAGATAAGTCACAAAGATAGAGATGGGGAGAGATAACTATGAAAAAGGGAGAGATAACTATGAAAAAGGGAGAGATAAAGATAGGATAACATGATAAGCATTGGAAAGGGGTCAATTAAAATTTGAGCACACAAGTAGGGGGAGCAAGCTCATGAACTTAATTGTTGCATTTCAATGTGCATTTCTCCTGTGCTTGCTTGCATATGCACAAGTTTTAAATTTGAGATACTTGCTTGTGTGGTGTATGCTAGTAATAATACTTGAATGATGAAATGAAGCACTAGCATGCATAGGATGCCTTGTAATCTTGTTTTTCACAAGTGGTACTAGAACCTTGCTTATAATGTGATCTCATGAGGTATCTAGTGTTTTTGTGATTTACAAGTGGTCAAGTGGTATTCGAGTGGTATCGAGATGCTAAGGATGGTGTAAAAGGCGCACTCCGATGAAACACGCTTCAAAGGTCCATTTCTTACACCTTAGTATCATTTGGTAGTAGTGACTCTCCCAAAATTTTCATCCATACATATGTGTAGTGCTTATACCAAACTTGAGATAGCACATATGTAGGGGGAGCTAATACTACCAAATCGAATTTGTGGTGATTGTCCAAAACTTATTCATGATTAAAATGCTTGGACAAGCAACACAAGTTCAAATTTTATTTGAATATATATCTTTGTGAAAGGTTGTCATCAATTACCAAAAAGGGGGAGATTGAAAGCTCTAGTTTGGTTTTTGATAATTGATGAAACCTATGTGCACTAATATTTGTCATGAGTGGTATGCAAGATATTTTGGTGCACACCAAGTGATGGAGTTAGATGATGGTGGTGCTGTCCACATATTGATGTTGAAGTGCTCCACATTTGGAAAAGAGGAGAAAAGCAAAATGAGCTCAAGGCAAAGGTATTTTTATAGGAGCTATTTTGTTTTTGGCACTCAAGACACCATAGAGGGTGTGAGTGTATTTAGGATAGATAACCGTACTATGAAGAGGGGAAATTTTCATTTGCAATGGTTATCTAGTGCCACTAAGTATAAACTGCATTTGCATATTTTTAGTGACTAGTGGTTGTTGAGAGGTTCCTATGAAATGCCAAGAGTTGCAAGAGACCGATTGGAAATATTCGGAAATTGCTATGCTCAAGTGACTAATATTTTTTGGAATATTTTTGGAGGAGCTAGCATCTTTGTGAAGGAATTTATTGATAACATTTGATGGCTGGACAGAGAGTCATTTGCTGGAAGTTGGAATGAGTAAAGATGAATATTTGGAATCAGCAAAATGAAAAAGGAAAGAGAAAAATGGCCTGGGAGGA